GGGCTCAGAAGAGATGAGGAAAGGGCCTTACTAACAAATATTGCCTCAGCGCAGCACCAAGCCAGCCCTGGGCACTTCTTGGGGAGGATCTGGGAGGCCCAGGAGAATGAGTGATAGAAAAAGGAAGGAGAAGAAGCATACAAGGCCCTGTCTCTACACCACCATACCATGAACTTCCACCAAATTATCCAATATGGGTGAAGTCAACATTAAGGTGGGCTAAACAGGTTATAGAAACCTGGAAGACTGAATCATAGTGGAAATTCCAAACTTTACTATGGCTTTTCCCAGTTCAAGCATCAGCTCAGTGGGCACTCCATGCCAGGCACTACACGAGGCCCAGAGTTCTCCCAAATACAGATCTTGATTAACACATGTGCAAACCACATGCAGGCCCACCAGAAGAAAAATACCCACACATAAGATGGAATTTCTGAAACTGAAAGCAGCCAACCAGCATATATTACTAGCAAAAACAGTGCTGCCAGAAATACTCACGGACATAGAAAGCAAACCATGGTTAGCAGGCAGGAAATGGGGGAGGGACAGATTAGGAGTTTGGGATTAACAGATACACATTAATAAATATAAACAAATAAATGACAAGGACCTGCTGTGTAGCACAGAGAACTATATTCAATGTCTTGTAATGAGGTGTAAAAAAACAACCTGAAATATATATATATGTACATAAGCATATATATAACTAAATCGCTGCTGTACACCTGAAACTAACACTGTAAACTGACTACACTTCCATCAAAAATAAGAATTTTAAAAATAAATAAGTAAAAGCAATGCCATAAAAAAATTAAAGAACACTGTTATCCCCTTAGCTGTAGGTGGCAGAGAACTCTGATTACAAGCACCAAGTCCACTGGATCACTCCAGCATTGGCTGTCAGTCTTTCTGACCATCAAGGAGTCACATAGCTTCACTGAGGTTATTTTTTTCTTTTGTGAAAGTCTACAGTTGCAACTAACCATGTATATAATCTCATCATTCACAGACCCAAAAATTACTGAGGACCTCCCATCGGCCAGACTCTAGAGAGATGAAAAGATAGAGTCCCAGATATATTCATGGGTAGAAAAAGTTAATGTCATAAAAACATTAATTCTCCCCATTCTGATATACAGATTCAATGCAATTCTGATTAGAATTCCTACCAGATGTTTCATGGAATGTAACAAATTAATTTATGGTCAGGAACAGCCAAGAAACTTCTTTAGAATCACCACTGGGGAGGTGGCAGAGAATAGGTCATTCATTTCCACTGTTTTTTCTGAAGCGATGAAAACATTCTGGAATAATAATGGTTGCACCACTCTGAGTATATTAAAAGCCACTGAACTGTACCATTTAAATGGCTGGACTTCATTGTGTGTGAACAATATCACAATACAGCTGTTACATGAAAAAAAAAATAGTTCTTGACAACTGTTTTTCCCTCTATACTACTAGTCAGCCCCACAATTTAAGAAAAACAAAAAACCAAAACCAAACAAAACTTTGCCAGGAGTGCTTTAGTACTGCAATATCCCTGGGTCTCCAAAATGCCTCTGGTGGTGCTGTTCCTGTTAACACACACTAGCTGGGCTGGACTAGTTAGGGATTGTAACTACCTTTTTAAAAAAGACAGTCACTTTTTTCACCCTGGGACAGGGGAGGATGGAGGATGTAACAGCCTCCTGCCTTCACCTCACTTATAACTGAACCAAGCCCTGCTTTCAACACTGTAATCCCTCTCGCTATAAAAACACGTGACACCAACAAGCACCCCCATCCTAACACCCGAAAGTGTTCAAAGGTACTTACCTGGGGCAGAAACACTGAGGGAGGAGACCAATGCACTCTCTCTTTTCCTAAGGCTCCGCCAGAAGCTGGGATTTACCGCCAGAGGCTCTCAGCCCAGGGAGCAGCGCCCACACCGCAGAGCTGGACCTCGGGGAGCGGGAAAGGGAGAGGAGGGCAGCCCCGGGGTCGCGGGAC